TGGAAATGGAAACAGGAAAAACTGGCCGAGAGGAGCTGAGGAGCTGATCAGAGAAGCTGCATAGCAAGAGTGGAGATTGTATGAATACTGTGTGATGGACAAAGGGTCCCCAACTGAAGTGATAGGCCATCTCCTCATACTTCAGAACATCATGTTAACAAATTTTCGTACTGTGAAACTAAAAGCTAAGGTTTGAAGTAATTAAAATCACTGTAGGCATAGGTTTGCTAAGTGTGTACAAAATGTTGCATTCTTGTTTCTCAGTCTGTCATTGATCTGCATGTGAAAATAACATGGTAGATTAAGTTTAGTGCAGAAAACTGAGAGATTATCCACTTTGGTAGCAAAAACAGTAAGACATATTATTATCTGAACAGCAATTGATTGGGAAATGGGAAGATATACCAAGACCTGGGTATCCTTGTACACTGGCCGCTGAAAGTAAGCATGCAGGTGCAGCAGGCAGTGAAAAAGGCATATGGTATATTGACCTTCATAGCGAGAGGGTTTAATTACAGGAGCAAAAGTGTCTTGCTGCAATTGCATAGGGCCTTGGTGAGAACATGCCTAAAGTATTGTTTGCTGTTTGGGCCTCCTCATCTGAGGCTGGATGTTCTGGTGACGGAGGGAGTGTAACAGTGGTTTACCAGACTGATGCTTGGGATGGCAGGATTGACGTATGAAGAGACACTGGATTTGTTCAGACTATATTCACTGGAGCTTAAGAGTGTTGGGGGATTTCCTTGAAACCTGTTAAATTATAACATTAATAGACAGGGTAAAGGCAGAAAGGATGATCCTAATGACCAGGGAGTCCAGAACCAGGGGTCAGAGTCTCAGGATACAGGGTAGGTCATTCAGGACTGAGATGAGGAGAAATTTCTTGACCCACAGCGTGGTGAGCCTGTGGAATTCTCTGTCACAGAAAACGGTTGAACCCAAAACATTGAATAGGTTCAAGAAAGAGTTAGATATAATTTTTCAGGCTAAAGCAATCAAAGGGTATGGGAAGAAAATGGGAATAGGGTACTGAGTTGGATAGTATTGAATGGCAGAGCAACAGTAGCAGAAGACACAAATGAATTGAATTGAATTAGCTTTATTGTCACATGCTCAAATGAGTACAGTGAAAAGTTTATAAGTCGCCACTTACAGCACCATTCTATTCAGGATTTTAAGTTGAGATAGTTGGACAATATACATATAGAACTCTGTGATAGCAGGTTCTTTTACCTGTACTCTGAGCATTTGTTTAATGTTATTGCCCTTTGAAACGGCTCAGATCAGTCAGAAGTAGAGACTGTCACTCACAGAAAAGAACTGTTATTCCATCTGGAACCTAGGAATGTGCTGCCTCCAAACCCCACAACTGATATTGACAACCAGCCCACCACAGCAGTAATCCTGATAATCCCCATTGATTTTCAGTAAATTGACCCCTGGACTGACAGTGGTCCATCTGCCACCCACATCCCCCTGCTGTCCGCTGACTTGGAAGATCAGACCCCTGACTGATATCTATGTAGCTCGCCAACTGACTTACTGCTAATCCCTGAGTTGTACTGGACTTGCACAACTGACCATGGCTCATTAAGGTTTTAGAGTAAATTTGTAGCTTGGGTTGTGGATGTTGTGGTTGGTTGGCTGGCCGAGCTGGTTTGTTGTTCCACAGACATTTCATTATCCTGCTGGGTAACATCATGTTACATGTTGTGTGAGCCAACCAACCACAATGACCATGGCCCACTTCCTGGACTGCAAGGATATGGATTCCTTGACCGCAAACATTTCAAGCACCTAACTGAAAGCTGCTTTCAAGCTGCTGAATTGACGACGACAGTCCCCATGACTGGATTGACGGCTATCTCCTAGACTTTGAAACATGGCCATTTAGTTCTAGCATGTGAAATATGTTTATCATGTAAATTGCTGGCATGTTCTGCAGGTATGACACTGCCAGTCGATGTAGTATGTTTAGACTTTCACAGAGTGTTTGACAAAGTCCCACGTAAGAGTTTAATGTGCAAGGTTAAAGTGCATGGGATTCGGGGAAGTGAAATGAGATGGATGAGAAACTGGCTGGCAGGAAGGAAACAAGAGTAGGAATTAATAGGTCCTTTTCAAATTGGCAGGCAGTAACTATTAGGGTGCCACAGGAATCGGTGCTGGGACCCCAGCTATTCACAATATATATTAATGATTTGGATCAAGGAACAAAATGTAGCATCTCCAAGTTTGCAGATGATACCAAGTTGGGTGGGAGGATGAACTGTGATAAGGATGCAGAGATCCTTTAGCATGATCTTGGACAGGTTGGGTGAGTGGGCCAATCAATGGCAAATGCAGTATAATTTGGATGAATGTGTGGTTATTCACTTTGGAAGCAAAAACAAGGCAGCAGATTACTACCTGAATGGCTGTAAATTGGGAGAAGGGAGTGTGCAGCGGGACTTGGGTGTCCTTGTGCACCAGCTGCTGAAGGTAAGCAAACAGTATGTTGGTCGTCATTGCAAGAGGTTTCGAGTATAGGAGCAGGGAGGTGTTGTTGCAGTTGTACAGGGCCTTGGTGAGACTACACCTGGAATATTGTGTGCAGTTTTGGTCTCCTTTTCTGAGGAAGAACGCTGTTGCTCTCGAGGGAAAGCAGCAAAGGTTTACCAGGCTGATGCCGGGGATGGTGGGTTTGATGTATGAGGAGAGATTGACTAGGTTTGGATAACAAAGTGTGGAGCTGGAGGAACACAGCAGGCCAGGCAGCATCAGAGGAACAGAAAAGCTGACGTTTCAGATCGGGACCCTTCTCACTAGGTTGGGATAGTTTTTTCTGGAGTTCAGATGAATGAGGGGGGATTTCGTAGAGACTTATAAAATTCTAACAGGACTGGACAGGGTAGATGCAGGGAGGATGTTCCCGATGGTGGGTATCTCCAGAACCAGGGGTCACAGTATGAGGATTCGAGGTAGACGATTTAGGACGGAGATGAGGAGACATTTCTTCACCTAAAGAGTGGTGAATCTGTGGAATTCATTACCACAGGAAGTAGTTGATGCCAAAACATTGAATGTATTCAAGGGGCGACTAGATATAGCACTTGGGGTAAATGGATCAAAGTTTATGGAGAGAAAGCTGGATTAGGCTTTTGAGTTGGACGATCAGCCATGATCATGAAGAATGGCGGAGCAGGCTCGAAGGACCGAATGGCCGCCTTCTGCTCCTATCTTCTATGTTTCTATGATGTAATACCGTGCCAAGCAGAACAACGTCCATCGCCTTGACTCATCATTTTGGGCAACCATGACCAGCTGTCTGTGCTAAAGGCAAGGCGTGACAGAAGAATTGGTAAGCTCTGAATGATGTGCAGAAAGACAGGCTAAAGCAAGGCAAAGGTACTGTGAACTTCAAAGTAGATGCAAAGTTAGTGGGCACTTAGAGAGTAACCTAAGAGCCCTAAGGTGCACCATACTCTGATGCATGAGATAGGTGCCTGACCCACAGGTGACGTTTTCAGTGATCTATAAAGTGCATTTTTGCAGTAGTGAACCATAATATAAGAAAGCAAAGATTCACTATGATGATTTAGTGAGGCTAGTGCATGAATGATGCCATTCTCCTTGGATGGAGTCCACAGGCAGTCACTGTCCCTGGAGTGGTTCTGAAATGTTAGGAATACTGACAAAGCCAGAGGCCTAGAAGAGCAAGCAGCGAGTTGCAGGTAGCAAGTACCTATTCAGACTTTCATGACGGGAATTGTTGCCACCTAGTTTATCCCCACTGCTTGGGAAAATAGCAATATGCAAGCATAGAAATGGGCCAAGATTAGATAGTAATGAGATGTTAATACCTGCAATTAGCTCTTGCCATGCACTAGCGAGATTGTCATCTAGCCATTTAAACCTCAGATAGAAAATTAGACTATTTATTTTTTTCATTTTCACCATATTTTCCCAAACTACTCACCATTGCCATGTAATTCAAGGATTGAAACATAAGGGGGAGGAAGAAGAAATACTTCAATTGTGCAATTCACTGAGAAATAGGAGAAAAGCATTGGTGATAGAACAAAGATGCATAGGTAAACACAGCGAAAGTGAATACTGAGAGTTTACTGTGGGAAGGAGAGTTTTATTGTTTATGCAGTTCTAAATATTTGGAAATAGGATGTAAGAGTGGATCATTATATTTCTAGGAAGCTTTGTAAAGTGAGCAATTAATAGCATTGCGAGTATATCAGTGAGGTCTTCATCTTTTGAAATCAAAGCATGGAGTCATTTTTACCTTTAGTTAGTCATGCAACGATAATTAAAGTAAAGTTACTGTATTATAGCAATTGATGAAATTGCCACATTTGAACCAAAGCTTGACTCTGATAAACATCAGAAGCAATGTTTAATTTTAATTTTCAGATTAGCTACGACAAACTGTAGAGACGTCTATTAATGTTTGCATTTTAATATATATTTATCAGTCTCATAAAGTTGTCTTTTTAAAAATTACGTTTGATTTTAGTTCTATTTATTCATATATTTAACTCCTTATTTCAATTAGGGGGAGGCAATGGCCTAGTGGTATTATCACTGGATTGTTAATCCAGAGACCCAGATAACTTTCTAGGGACCCTGGTTCAAATCCTGCCACAGCAGATGGTGGAATTTGAATATAATAAAAAACAATCTGGAATTAAGAATCTAATGATGACCATGAATCCATTGTCAATTTGTGAGGAAAAACCCATCTGGCTCACTAATGTCCTTTAGGGAAGAAAACTACCCATCCTTACCTGGACTGGCCTACATGTGATTTCTTCCTCCCCCTTACATGACTCCAGACCCACAGCAATGTGGTTGACTCTGGACTCTGAATTAGGGATGAGCAATGAATGCTACCTAGCCAGCAACACCCTCATCCCATGTATGAATAAAGAAAAAAAAATAACTTATTTCCTTTTCTATTCATATAACAGGAACAAAATAAATTAGCTGCCATGTCTGCATACTTTCAGGGAATGCAACCTATTGTGAAGATAAGATTTCAGCAACCTGTTCGTTCAGTTTACACCATGCCAGAATTATTGGAGATTGCTGTAATAGCAGCACCAGTGGCTAATGATGGTAAGTGTTCTGCATTAATGACACAAGCAGAGAAAAGATAAGATGGAGCAACAAAAATTTGAACAATGAATGAAGACAGAGCAAAATTAGTGGAGGGCTTGGTAACATTCTTGTAAACATATTTGACAACAGAATTTGTGCCAAAGGACTGCAAATGTAATTTCTCTATTCAAAATAGCATGGGAGTTGATCATCTGTCATGGTAAACTTTTAGAGGACCTAACACAGGATAAAATTAGTATTCACTTAGAAATACTTAAGTCTTTCAGACAGTCAACACCAAAAGTAGATGTTAACAGATAAATATAATTGAATTATTTTAGAAACAAATGAATAAGTTAAGAGAAATGTGGACTTAGCTTACGTGGTTTTTCAAAAATTGTTAGATAAGATACTGAGTAAGTGGCTTCTTATAATAGTAATATCTACTAAGTGCAGTACTCCCAGATGGTGCTTTCACCAGTGCCTTTTATAACTAAGCACAACTCCCTCATTTTGTATTGAGTTCCACTTGTAATAATCAATAGCGTACTGTTAACTTCCTAAATTCTTGCTGTATTTGCATACTAACCTTTTCTGATTCATACACTAAAATGCCCAGGTTCCTCTGTATCTGAGTCCTGCAGTCCTTCAGCATTTGATCAGGTTTTTTTGCTCCTCTTGTTAAGATGTCAAACTGTCTACAATCCTTTTAAAAAATCGAAAACTCTGAATTAGAGTTGGAGACTTTGGATCATTGTGACTCACTTACCTGATTAGTTAACTAGAAAATGATAGAAGAATTAAAATCTGGTCTAAGCCATTACTCACTTACCTGTCATTGTATAAACCCTCCCCCACTTAACAGCCACCCTACCTCGCCCCACTTCCCACCCACCTCAACTTACCCCATCTGCTAACTCCCTGGCATAGTGGTACAATCTTGTAAAAATGGTACCAACTGGTAATAGTGAGAATTGCAATCCATCAGCCTTAGTGAGAGGTGTGCACAATGCCAGCGTTAAAGTGAGTGGTAGTGACTCTGAATGCAAGGTAGCATAGAGAAAATGATGACACTTCATCTTGCAGACTGTTATTTACCTTCTTTCAACGTTGCTAGGAGTTTCTTTTTAACCGTGGACATAGCACTGATCTGGGTTGCAGCATCTGGTGGTGTGGCCTTCATCAGCAGTTTGGAGGAAACAGCACTGCTTTTCTCTTGACCACCTTGTCCACCAGGGTCTTCAGATCCCTGCAGAAACAATGTGCTAGCTTCCCTTTCTGCACCATTTTCTGAGTTCCGAGGTATAGGACCGCAGTGTAAAATGCAGTTCCTGACTTGCAGCATCTGAAGTGCTATGGAGCAAAGTGTATGACTGCCCTCTAGAGTAGTGTCCAGGTAACTTGCCCTTCCCCGATGCACAGTCCAATGTCAGGCTCCAACTGATCAATTCTGAGCTAAAATTCTTTGAGCATAGAATCTCTACAGTGTGGAAACAGGCCATTCGGCCCAAAATGTCCACACCGACTCTCCAAAGAGCAACCCACCCATACTGACCCCTCTACCCTGTGCTTGTAACCATGCATTTCCCATGGCTAGACCATCTAACCGACACATCCCTGGATACTATGGGTAATTTAGCATGGCCAATCCACCTAACCTGCATATCTTTGGACTGTGGGAGGAAACCGGAGCACCCGGAAGAAATGCACACAGACACGAGGAGAATGTGCAGACTCCATACAGACAGTCACCTGAGGGTGGAATCAAACCCAGATCTCTGGTGCTGTGAGGCAGCAGTGCTAACCATTGAGCCATCGTGCCACCAGTAGACATCCAGTCCAGATATGATTGCTGTGGATCTCACCAGCATTCATCAGCTCTCTCATGCTACCTGCAACACGTCATCTACCCAGTATCTACTGTATGTTATTCAACTAATTAAGCATTCACATTTAAAGTTATCTTTCACCTGTTACTTTTAGTTTTATCAAATAGTGTAACTGAGTAATTTAATCCAGTACTTTACTTGTATAATCCCCTGTGCTAGTTTATCTGTGAACCCAGCTTAGAGAAAAAAAATTATAAACCTTTAAAACTCAAAAATAATCATCAACTTGCCTACCTAGTTAATAACACTAGACAGTAGATCTTAGGTCTCACTGTCTCTCCCTCTCTCGGACCACTCATTCTGTAATGCTTCCTTCACTGATCAGATTTCCTGAGTTAATTAATCACACTGTTTGTCACTATTATATTGAGCTTGACTTTTTTTACTACTTACTTTGCTTGTTAGCATAACATCTGTTATTCATATTAGCTGAAATTCCAGAAGTCCGAGTCAAGCCCTGCTACGTAGAGAACCTTACAGTCAGAAGTGAGAGTGTGAGATTCCATTATTCTGTACCCTGTAGAGATACTAAAGCAGTCAGTGTCCTTAGATTTGGATAACATTCAGGCTTAGGCAGATAAAAGGCAAGCAGTGTTTGTGCTACACAAATGCTGGACAATGATAGGAGAAAATCTAACTCCTTCACCTCTGCATTCAGTGGCTTACCGTTGTTGAATCTTGCATCATCAACATCTTGGGGATTATCATTGACTAGAAATTTAACTGGATTAGCTATATATAAATATTGTGACTGCAAGAAAAGGTCAGAGCCTGGGTACTGTGTGACAATTACCTTAGCTCTAGACTGTGCCAAACCTGTCTAAGTCAAGACTGACACAATACTGTCTATTACCCGGGTGAGTGAAGGTCCAAGAACACCCAGGAAGGTTGACACAATCCAGCCCATTTGATTGGTGATCAATCCACTACTTTAAACAATCATTCTCTCCACCGTTGCAGCAGCAGCAGCAGCAGCACTGTGCACCATATAGAAGATGCACTGCAACAACTCGCCATTTGACAGCACCTTCCAAACACACAAAAACTTACATCCAGAAATTCAAGAGGACCAATTGCATGTAAACAATCCACCTACAAGTTCTGAGACAACAAGGTGCAGGGCTGGATGAACACAGCAGGCCAAGCAGCATCATAGGAGCAGAGAGGCTGACGTTTCGGGCCCAGACCCTTCATCAGAAAAGGGGGAGGGAAAGGGGGCTCTGAAATAAATAGGGAGAGAGTGGGAGGCGGATAGAAGAGGGATAGAGGAGAGGATAGGTGGAGAGGAAACAAACAGGTCGAAGAGGCGGGGATGGGGCCAGGAAAGGTGAGTGTAGGTAGGGAGTTAGGAAGGGGATAGGTCAGTCCAGGGAGGACGGACAGGTCAAGGGGGCGGGATGAGGTTGGTCGGTAGGAGATGGAGGTGCGGCTTGAGGTGGGAGGAGGGGATAGGTGGGAGGAAGAACAGGTTAGGGAGGCAGGGACGAGTTGTACTGGTTTTGGGATGCGGTGGGGGGAGGGGAGATTTTGAAACTTGTGAAATCCACATTGATACCATTGGGCTGCAGGGTTCCCAAGCGGAATATGAGTTGCTGTTCCTGCAACCTTCGGGTGGCATCGTTGTGGCACTGCAGGAGGCCCAGGATGGACATGTCGTCTGAGGAATGGGAGGGGGAGTTGAAATGGTTCGCGACTGGGAGGTGCAGTTGTTTGTTGCGAACCGAGCGTAGGTGTTCTGCAAAGCGGTCCCCGAGTCTCCGCTTGGTTTCCCCGATGTAGAGGAAGCCACACCGGGTACAGCGGATGCAGTATATCACATTGGCAGATGTGCAGGTGAACATCTGCTTGATGTGGAAAGTCTTCTTGGGGCCTGGGATGGGGGTGAGGGAGGAGGTATGGGGGCAGGTGTAGCACTTCCTGCGGTTGCAGGGAAAAGTGCCGGGTGTGGTGGAGCTGGAGGGGAGTGTGGAGCGGACAAGGGAGTCACGGAGAGAGTTGTCCCTCCGGAAAGCAGATAAAGGTGGGGAGGGAAAGATGTCTTTGGTGGTGGGGTCGGATTGCAGATGGCGGAAGTGTCGGAGGATGATGCGTTGGATCCGGAGGTTGGTGGGGTGGTACGTGAGGACGAGGGGGATTCTTTTTTGGTTTTTATTGCGTGGACGGGGTGTGAGGGATGAGGTGCGGGAGATGTGGGAGACACGGTTGAGGGCGTTCTCGACCACCGAGGAGGGGAAGTTACGGTCCTTGAAAAACGAGGACAACTGAGATGTACGGGAGTGGAATGCCTCATCCTGGGAGCAGATGCGGCGGAGGCGAAGGAATTGGGAATAGGGGATAGCATTTTTGCAGGAAGGTGGGTGGGAGGAGGAGTATTCTAGGTAGCTGTGGGAGTCGGTGGGCTTGAAATGAATATCGGTTTCGAGGTGGTTGCCCGATATGGAGACAGAGAGGTCCAGGAAGGGGAGAGAGGTGTTAGAGATGGTCCAGGTAAATTTAAGGTTGGGTGGAAGGTGTTAGTGAAGTGTATGAACTGTTCGAGCTCCTCGTGGGAGCACGAGGCGGCGCCGATACAGTCATCAATGTAACGGAGGAAGAGGTGGGGTTTAGGGCCGGTGTAGGTACGGAAGAGGGATTGTTCCACGTAACCTACAAAGAGGCAGGCGTAGCTTGGGCCCATGCGGGTACCCATGGCTACCCCCTTTGTCTGTAGGAAGTGGGAGGAATTGAAAGAGAAGTTGTTGAGTGTGAGGACGAGTTCGGCTAAGCGGATGAGGGTGTCAGTGGAGGGGGACTGGTCGGGCCTGCGGGACAGGAAGAAGCGGAGGGCCTTAAGGCCATCTGCATGGGGAATGCAGGTGTAGAGGGACTGGACGTCCATGGTAAAGATGAGGTGTTGGGGACCGGGGAATTGGAAGTTCTGGAGGAGGTGGAGGGCGTGGGTGGTGTCACGGACATAGGTAGGGAGTTCCTGGACCAAGGGGGAGAAAATGGAGTCGAGATAGTTGGAGATCAGTTCGGTGGGGCAGGAGCAGGCGGAGACAATGGGTCGACCAGGGCATTCAGGTTTGTGGATTTTGGGAAGGAGATAGAAGCGGGCAGTGCGAGGTTGGGGAACGATGAGGTTGGAGGCCGTGGGTGGGAGGTCACCTGAGGTGATGAGGTTGTGGATGGTTTGCGAGATGATGGTTTGGTGCTCAGGGGTGGGGTCATGATCAAGGGGGCGGTAGGAGGAGGTGTCGGAGAGTTGGCGTCTGGCCTCGGCGATGTAGAGGTCAGTGCGCCATACTACAACTGCACCTCCCTTGTCCGCGGGTTTTATGGTGAGGTTGGGATTGGAGTGGAGGGAGCGGAGGGCTGCACGTTCTGCGGGGGAGAGGTTGGAGTGGGTGAGAGGGGTGGAGAGGTTGAGGCGATTGATGTCTCGACGGCAGTTGGAGATGAAGAGGTCACCTACAAGTTCTTCCTCTCACCCTCTGATGTTGGATCTATAACACTGTTTCTTTATCGGTCCAAGTCCCAGAACTGCCGTCCTAAGAACTCTAGGTGTATTTACATGAGCAGCAGCTGAAGAAGGTGATTCAGTTTCCATCACCTTCTCAAGGGATTACAAATAAGTAACAAATACAGGTCTTGCTGGGGATGTTCACATACCATAGAAAAACAAAAATAAAAGCCTTCCTGCTTCTGACTTGGTAGTTTTGTCAGTTTAAGCCTTAGTTCTGGAGAGCGGAGACAGTTTTGTTGACTTATCCTGCTGTCTATGTTTAGTGATTGGAACTGGTAGACCTGTTGACTACGAAGTTCTTGATTGGGGTTCTTAAACTGGGCCAATCAGAAAAGCCTTGGCTGACTAATATAACCAGGGGATTAGAAGACAAACTCTGAGCTGGCTTGCTACAGCCAGTGTACTGATGCACTTGTGAAATAAGGGGTGACTTGGTGATGGGACCTGGCTTCTGTGCCGATATTTTAGTGAGTAGATCCCAGACTGAGCCTCTGTGTGTAGGCTCCAGGCTGAGCCTGTTGTGCAGGGACCGAGCCTTTGTGTGCAGGCCCTGGGCTGAAGTTCCTGTACAGGAAATAAAAGCAAACTCCATTCAACTAGTGATGCAATTGTCAATAACGTAATAATTTCTCGTATTTTGTGAAAATTATGATTTTGCCAAAAAGAGATATAACCAGAGATAAGAATTTCCTCAGTTGAAGACTGACTCCGAGCTGGCTGCCATAGCCAGTGTACTGTGCACTAGTAAGTAAAGGGTGACTTGGCAATGGGATACCGGCCTCTCTGCGGTTATTTCAGTATGAAAGGAGGAACAAGTATAAGTGATCAATCACACTGTCACTTGCAATGTTAAAGGATATTACAGTTTTAAGAACTTATTGCCTGGAATAAATACAATTCACGGGCTGTGAGTAATGATGTAATTCTACTAAATTATACATTTAAGCAGTGGGGCAATGGAATTTCACTGTAGACATTTATGAGCCTTGCACTGGAAAGCCGACTCCTTACAAACTCTTGAGTTTACTTTTCCATCAAACCTACTAGTCTGTTATTTAGCTCCCCAAGGTACTAGATGTTAGGGGAGATGGTGGGATAATTGATAATGTCACGGGACCTAGTAATCCAAAGGCACAGGTTAATGATGTGTTGACATGCGCTCCATTCACACCACAGTAGATAGTGGAATTTAAAATCTGAAGCACCAAGTTAGTCTTCGTAATAGTATCCATTACAACTTTTATCAGTTGTTGTTTAAAGATACCGCTAGGTATCTTCACTTTAGGGAAGGAAAATTGCCACCTTTATCAATAAAATCATTCAGTTCAGGAACAGGTAATAAATACTGGCTTTACCAGCAACACCCAATCCTGTGAAATAATAAAGAATCAAAATGGCAATAATGGATAAGTGATGTATTTTTCACTCCATTCCTATTGCCTCCCTAGTATGAGATCAAGTACCTTTGTTGGATTAGTTTCCTTATTCCATAACTATAACTGGATATTCTTAAAACTAGTTTCTATGATTAAGAAAGTGAATTTGTGTGAGTTTATAAGGTATAACGGAACAGAAAAAATACTGAAATCTTGTCTCACTGGATCTCTATCCCATTTGTGCCATACATTTTTGCTGGAGATCAGAGTTGCATTTATGATAAACAAATACTGCAATAATGTTTTCTGTTATTTCCTTAGTGCCAATTAATCATGCTGTAATCAAGCTTTATGGACCAAATCAACACTTCACTGCCTTTCTTTGTCTTTTACTTCAGGTTCTGACTGTTTGGCTGAGATTTGTGATGTAGCATGGCTTGTTCCTTTGCCTTATAAGAACGGATCTGTCGTCTCCGAAGCACTTATCACAAGCAATAAGATCAGCTTGCAAATACCAGACAAGAAGTATGGAAACAAATTTAAAATATTTTTTGTTATTTTATTGAAAACGTTAGTCAAAAATGTGGATGCTCGAAGAATGTTGTGAAATGAGAGTATGATGGAATTTAACTGTTTCATGAATTCCTAAGTGTTTAATTCTACACTCGTTTTAAATGGTTATTAAGTGTCATTGCTAAAATGATTTCATAAAATAATGTTAAGCTTTTTGATATATTACTGTGCAATTTTAAGGACAATAGCCTGGAACTTACGTTACTAGCAGTTCAAAATAAGTTCATAAAAATCGGCAGATTGAATTTGTGCCTAATTACATGGCATGCAAAACAGGCTGCTGATTTGCTACAAGCCTATTTCACACTTCTAGTAAAGATCAGGTTCAAGCTCCATGAGTTTAAAAATGAGGACCAATATTAGAATACAATATTAGTTTAATGGGGTAGAAATTCTTTTTAGTGTACTTCGGTAGACTCTGTGTGGAGTCTAAATGTTCTTTCCTTGTCTGTGTGGGTTTCTGCTATGTGCGCCGGTTTCCTCCCACAATTTGAAGGTGTGCAGGTTAGGTAGAATGGCATGCCGAATTGTCCTGTAGTGTCCAGGGATGTGTGGGTTAGCCATGGTAGAAACACTTGTGGTGGATTGGGCTAGAAATGTTCTGTGGAGGGTGAGTGCAGACTTGATGGGCTCAATGGCCTCTGTCTGTCTGCTCTTGCTAGTCTGCAGGGAGCATCTGGAGGGTGGAGCAGCAGCATTGAGTTAGTATAAAACTAACTGAGCTCAGGGCACATTGTAGCTACGGGAAAAAAAACTGGAGTGACGTCACAGGGAAGCTATGACCTGATTCCTGGCTGGTAGGAAATCTGCATTGAACTTGAAAAAGAACACAGCAAAGAAGTATTAATAAATTAATTAACTCATTAATAAATTTATATAAATTAATAAAGTAACTAAGTAAGTAGAGATGGCTAGGCAGGCAATGTGCTGTAGCTGTATGATGTGGGAGTTGGCAGTTCCCATTACAAGCTGCAGTGACCACATTCGCAACAAGTGTTGGTTGCTTAAAGTACTTCGGCTCAGAGTTGATGAGATGGAATCTGAGCTTCAAACATTCCGGGACATCTGGGAGGGGGAAAAGTACCTGGACGCTTTGTTTCAGGAGGCGGTCACACCTGGTAGATTAAGTACTTCAAATTCAGTCATTGAGCAGGGACAGCAGAGTGTGATTGCAAGTGAAGAAGCTACGGCGATCCTGAATTCAGGAACGGAGGAACCTCAGCTCTTGACCTTGTTTAACAGTTATGAGGTATTTGCTCCCAGTGAGGAAAAGGGCTGTAGGTAGGATGAGCTGGCTGACCAGTGCACCATGGTACAAGAGGCCATTCATGAGGGGGGAGCAAAAAGACTAGTGATTGTTGTAAGGGTCTCTGTATTAGGGGGATTAATCGTATTCTTTGTAAGCAGCATCAGGACTCCCGCATGCTGTGTTGCTTGCCTGGTGTCAGGGTGAGGAGCATCCATAACTGGTTTGAAAGGATATTGGAGTGGGAGGGCGAGGATCCAATTGTTGTGGTCCACATTAGGACAAACAACATAGGCAAGGCTAGGAAGGAGGACCTGTTTGGGGATTATCAAGCATTAGGAATGAGATTAAGGAACAGGTCCTGAAGGCTTGTAATCCCCAGATTACTACCTGAGCCATGTGCAAATTGACATAGGGATAAGAAAATTAGAGAAGTAAACACGTGGCTAAAGGAGTGGTGTAGGAAAGAGGGGTTCCATTTCATGGGGCATTGGCATCAGTTTTGGAACAGGAGGGATCTGTACCATTGGGACGGTCTTCACCTGAACTGATCTGGAACCAGTGTTCTAGCAAAAAGAATAAATAGGGTGGCCACTAGGACTTTAAAATAGTGAACTGGGGGGAAGGGAAGGGGAAAATGACAGGAAGTATAATGGTAAATAGAAAAGAAAGCAGTAGGTTAATATGCATGCAGGAGGATTTAACTACATCGAAGGCTATGAAAGAAGTTGAAAGGAAGGAAAACTCGGGCGATGTTATTAATGGAAATATAGAATTCAAAAAGAAGGTATAAAAACTTGCATAAAGGCACTTTGCTGAATGCTTGTAGCATTCAAAACAAGATAGATGAGTTAACAGCACAAATCATCATGAATGAATATGTAGCCATTACAGAAACATGGTTGCAGGATGGTCACGATTGGGAATTAAATATTCAGGGGTATCACACTATGCGGAAGGACAGACAGGAAGGTAAGGGAGGTAGTGTAGCTCTGATATTTAAGGATGACATCAGGGTAGTAGTGAGAGATGATATAAGTTCTGTATACAATACAGTGTGGAGCTGGAAGAACACAGCAGGTCAGGCAGCATCAGAGGAGCAGGAGTGTTGACATTTCGGGTTTACACCCTTCATCAAGACTCCAGCATTTGCAGTCTTGCTATCTTCTAGGTTCTATTGAGAATAAGGTTGAATCCATTTGGGTGGAAATTAGAAATTCTAAGAAAAAGAAGTCACTGACAAGTGTAATCTATAGGCCACCAAATAATAACATTACACTGGGGTAGGCAATAAACAAAGAAATAACTAATGCCTGTAAAAATGGTACAGCAATTATCATGGGGGATTTAATCTACGTGTTGATTGGTCAAACCAGGTCAGTCAAGACAGCCTAGAGAAGGAGTTCATTGAATGTATCCGTAATAGTTTTCTTGAACAGTATGTAATGGAAATGACAAAGGAGCAAGCTATCCTGGATCTGGTCATGTTTAATGAGACAGGAATAATTAATGATCTCCTAGTTAGGGATCCTCTTGGAAGGAGCGATCACAGTATGGTTGAATTTAGAATACAGATGGGAAGTGAGAAGATAAAATCCAATACCAGGGCCCTGTGCTTAAACAAAGGAGACAACAATAGGATGAGTGAGGAGTTGGCTAAAGTAGACTGGAAACAAAGACTTTATGGTGGGACAGTTGAGGAACAGTGGTGGACTTTCAAAGCAACTTTTCAAAGTACTCAGCAAAACTACATACCAGTGAAAATGAAGGGCGGTAGGAAAAAGGGTAATCAGCCATGGATACCTAAGGAAATAGGAGAGGCTATCAAATTAAAAGATAAGGCATACAAAGTTGCAAAGGCCAGTGGGAAACTAGAAGACTGGGAAAACTTTACAAAACTACACAAAAAATGCTATAAAGAAAAGTAAGATAGATTATGAGAATAAATTAGCTCGGAATATAAAAATGATAGCAAAAGTTACTACAAATATATGAAACGAGAAAGAGTGGCTAAAGTAAACATTTGTCCTTTAGAGGATGAGAAGGGAGAATTTAATAATGGGAAATGAGGGAATAGTTGAGGCATTGCACAGGTATTTTGTGTCAGTCTTCACAGTGGAGGACACGAATAACATGCCAATAATTAACGGTAAGGAGACTAAGGTAGGTGAGGACTTAGAAATGACCAGTACCATGAAAGAGGTAGTGTTGGGCAAGCTAATGGAGCTGAAGGTAGACAAGTGTCCTGGCCCTGATGGAATGCAATCCTGGGTATTAAAAGGGATGGTGAGAGAAATAGCAAATGCGCTCATGCTAATTTTCCAAAATTCGCTTGCCTCTGGGGCAGTTCCAGCAGATTGGAAAATAACAAATGTGATGCCACTGTTTAAAAAAGGAGGTTGACGAAATATGGGGAATTATAGGCCGGTTAGCTTAACTTCTGAATCTATCATCAAGGAAGAAATAGCAAGACATCTGGAATAAAATTGTCCCATTGGGCAGATGTGGCATGGGTTCATAAAAGGCAGGTCATGTTTAAATAATTTGCTGGAATTCTATGAAGGCATTACAAGTGAGGTGGTCAACGGGGACTGAATAGATATGGTGTATCGGGATTTCCAAAAGACATTTGACCAAGGTGCTACATAAAAGGCTGCTGCATAAGATAAAGGTGCACGGCATTATGGGAAGTGCATTAGCATGGATAGACGATTGGTTAACTAACAGCAAGCAAACAGTGGGGATATATGAGTGCTTTTCTTGTTGGTGATCAGTGTTATGAAGTGGAGGTCATTCCCCCCCGCTCCATGACTAAAACTGAAGCACCCAGGGAAGCTCACCTCACCTTACAATCTGTTAAAGGAAGTGTGAAAAGTGGTATAACCTGCCTGTCACTCCCCAATCTGTTATAAAGGGGTGATTAAATGAAATGAACTCCTTTCACTATAATCAACAAATAACATTTTTTTAAATCTAACTCTAACAGTGAACAAGTTACCTGAACCGTTAACAAATTGAACAATTCCCCCTTACTACTTACTATTCCCAAATAAAACAAAAATTCTAATGGTGTGCTGTTCCAATAAATACAAGACGCACTTATATAAACCAAAACAATAAAAAAATTAAAACTTAGTCTGTCAGAATTACAACCAGGATATATCTTCTGTAATGTTCTGTGCCTTCTCTGCTGTTCATCAGTTAGGAACACCTTTCTCTGTCAAATTCTTGTGTCTGGAATATTAGCTAAGAGTGCCGCTGTACCTTTACTTAGATGATAGTTTTCTGAGAGCTTAAAGAATTCTGTGAGAGCTACTGATTTTCTCTTCAGGGCTGCTCGTTGTTAACTCTAACAGATGGCAGTTGCTCTCACAGCAATTTTCAAATAACCTTTTCTTTTATACCCTAGATGACCTGTTAGTCCCTTACAATAGGATTGGTCACAAGTTGTCAAAACCATTGGATTAAAATTTAAGTATTTTTTAGTCTCTAAGTGCCTGGTTTAAATTAATTGTCTGATATTCAATCTGGTTGCCTTAATAACAAAACATGACTATTGCCTGGGTTGCTAACCATACAGCCTTTTGATACAAATGTTTCAATTTCAGGAACTCTCTGTGTCAGCTGCTGCTTGCAGACAGTTTTTTTTTAAATCCCCAAGCGTGGGAAAAAAACACATAATCTTTTAAAGGGACTACGCATTCTT